CTCCTGCTGCAGCCAGGAGCCCATTGGCCTTCTTGGCCACCAGGGCACGTTGCTGCCTCATGGGCAACCTGGTGTCACCCAGGACTCCCAAATCCCTCTCATGGAGCTGCTTTCCAGCAGGTCAACCCCTAATCTGTGCTGATGCCTTGGTTATTCCTGCCCAGGTGCAGGACTGTCTCCTTCACCTCCTGCTCCTGTGCAGCAGTGTGGCAGCTCCGACAAGCTCCCTTGGGCACATGACGCAGGAGAGGACCATGCTGATAGTTCAGAGCATTAATAAAGAGAGAACGGAGGCTGCAAAGAGATGCTGTGGCTATTGATGGAGACAGATGGAAGTGGGGAGATGGGGAAGACAGCCCTGTTCCACAGCTCTATGCCAAATGCTAGATGAGATAAGGGGTCACCTCTTGGCTTCCCAACACGTTTGGGTGCCCCTGCTGCCTCCAGGCTGCTCCCATCTGTCGTGGAGACCGTACTAGGGAAGAGACAAAGGGCTGCCCATGAAGGGGTGGGAGCAGGAGGCTTTCTGGTGGATGTCCAGGACTTGAGATGGTGTTACCTGGTCCCCTTGGATGTCCCTTCATGGAGAGCATGACAAGCGACCACCCAGGCACAGGGCTGGCTGCTGCAGGGGACACAGCTGCTGGCACAAGGTTGTCACCAAGGGGATATCACATTGAGGAGAAGCAGGGGGTTTGCAGAGAAACATCTCAGTGATGACAAAGCCACATTTGCGCATCCCTCGGATGCTTTGCTCATCCAAACATGTCTCCAGGGACGTCTCCTGGGAGCAGCTTCCATCCTGGGGACGGTTCTCTCTTCCCTTTGCTCTTCATTATGCTCCAAACGGCCAGGGGTTGTTGCCACAACACGGAGCTGTTCACACCAGGGTCTTCAGGGTAAGGAGGGATGGAGAGAGCAGCACCAAGGGCTGAGAAGAGATGCTCAAAAGAGGTTTTATGGGGCTGAGATGGTCTGAGAAGGGGTTGGGAGCACAGAAATGTCCCTGTTCTGTAAATCCATAGGCCTGTGCTGTGGAAATATCTGTCTCCACATCCACTTCTCCTGCCTGGAGACAGCCAGGAGGACCCAGGCAGCTCCTGACATGGTGCCTTCTGGGGAGAAGCCCTGGTGTCCATGCCACTTCATCCCTGCCACTGCCCTCCCAGCGAGGGCTCTCCCACATCCCTGCGCCGGGTTCCTGCCCTGCACCGCTCTGTGCCAGCCACGGCTTGCAATACACCTGGGCACAGAATGAATCCAGTTAGTTTTAGCCAAGGTAAAAACAAGGATCCTGGCAAAGCAGTGATGCTTTTTGAGCTGGTTGCCTGTTGGGCATCCCAGCGGCCAAACGGAAAGGGGTTAAATCCTGGGTTGGAGCAAGGCTGCTGAGTGCGTGACTGCAGGCGAGTGCCCGCGGGGAGGATGCTGCCAGTCCGCGGGCAGAGGCCGACCTGAATGCTGAGGGTAATTAACTCACACTTGCAAGCTCTAATTGAAGCGGAGCTGAGGACCAATTTAGGCTCATTTACCTGAAGTGGTGGATATTTGAAATGAGGTTGCCCAGCGGGGTTCCCAGGGATGGCCTCATTCCTGGGGGGAAATCTGCCCAAACCCTGAGCTGTCCAGCCCCAGTGAGGTTTCCTGTAGGTACCTATATGTCGCTAAACCCAAGTGCAGGCAGGAGGTGTCTTCACAGAAGGGATGAGCTCAGCAGGGACCTCTGGAGATCATCTCCAACCACCTGCTCAAGCAGGTTCACTTACAGCACATTGCCCAGGACTGTGTCCAGGTGGCTGTTGAACACTTCCAAGGATGGAGACTCCACAACCTCTTTGGGTTTTACCTTGTCTTCAGATGGAGCTGCCTATGCTTCAGTCTGTTGCCTCCTATCCTGTTGCTGGCCAACTCTGAAGAGTCCGGCCTCATCCCCTTGACATCCTTTAGCTATCGCTGCTGCTGATGTCCTTGCGCTGAAGCTGATTCTAGGAAAGCAGTTTGCTGGCCCATTCACTGCATGGCGAGGTGCTGCCTGTGCCCGTCATGAGAGGACGAGCTGGAAGACTCAGATGATGCCGTTTCCATAGGGTGAGCACGGATATGACTGATCTGCCCTTCCAGAAAAGTGGAACTTTATTTATCTCTCAGATTTGTCATATTGCCCTGGTCCTGGATGCCTCTAAGTATCATCTCATCATCTCAAGTGCTAGTTTTTCCACTGCCTTCAGTCCCTTAAGCCTTGGCCAGCTTTCCGTTGCCCTCAAGTTGGGATTTTTGCCGTGTTCTTTCTATACCTTTAATGCAGTCCCGCT